GTGCGAAGCGCCGAGGTCAACCAATTCTCGAGACAATAATGTGAAAACTTTCCACCGAATTATGTATACTATTCCATTTTTAATCATTAATTATTTAAAAGAATAAGGTAAAAGTATGACAAAAATAGAATTTTGACTGACAGTCTGACACCGACATTGACATTCTATGAAATTTCAACAATATAAACACATGCGACATCTACTTCATAAATACAAACATTGCACCGGGATTTGTGTTTAGGTGTGAAAGAACAATTTATCAGGGCTGAAAGTGAGTTCTCCAGGCCGAAAGTGACAGGAGAACAGTCACTTTCGGCCTGCTTTAAAGTGAACAAAAGTAAAGTGACATTTTCGAACCTTCAAACCAGTAAGGAATGTAAAAATTACATATAGGTTTAAAATAAAGTTGTTTTCGTTAAACAATTTCAAATTTGACATTTCAATGCATCGGTTCGTTCGGTCATATGAAATTTTCTAACAATGTCATTGGTTAGAATTTTTTACAGGACACGTTGCCAAGTTGGGTAGTGCAAATTTAAAAATTCACGATTTACAAAATGCACAAGATTTTAAATAAGCCGATCGTGAATTTTCAAAATTCGTCGACGCACATTTTTCGACCGAGTGAGTCGCATGTGAAAGATTTGCACGGATTTCAAATAAACCCCCCCTGGTGTTTTGACATTTTTTGACAAAAAAATCAAATTTTTGATTCATGGAATTCCCTCATAAAATACAACTCGTGCAATGGAAATATATTTTTAATTTATGACAAATTTGCACTCATGCATTTTTAACTGAAAAAGGCACTCGTGCACATGCATACGGGCAAATTTCACAATATTTTTCGATAATTTCCATTGCACTCGTTATATTCAGTACCGGCCCGAGACTACTTTTAGTATGGAGCGAGATCTGACTTTGGCGCCCCTAGTTTAAATGTGATTCGCATACGTGAGTATGGATTTTGACCACTATCTAATTTAATAGGTTTGTTCCAACCCGCCAAAAAAATGTCCCAGAACGGTTTCGGAACCACTCTGTATACGAATTTCGGTTTCTATGCAAAAATTTTAGGTTTTGCGCAGAATCCTGACGATAATATTACGGTTTCCTGCTGGGTTGGAACAAACGAAAGCTCAATGCCTCTATTTATCTTACCAATTGAAAATTCAAAACATTTCTGTTCGTTGGTACAAAGTTCTCTTATTTACTAACATTTAGATCACATTCTTTGATGGGATCAATCAATAATCCACTTTGGTAATATCACTTATAACACTTATGGCCATTTCCACCAACTAGTTATTTTCGGGAAGCCTTAAACGATAAGTATTACCTAGACTGACAGTTTTCCATGCAGAAATGTCAGTTTAGGGAATACTTATCGTAAAGCTACATCCTCAATCAATCTGGTAGCGAAGTGGCACTTTGGCACGCGTGCTGGGAAATTGATACCCATCCTCAATGCTGTCAATTTTCAGTCTGCTGTGCGTGTAAAGTCTGTTTTTTTTTTAAAGATAATTCCCCAAGTCAAAAATTTAGTAACTATCTTGGCAACACAAGCCTTTTCTACATAAAAATTTGAAAGCATTGACAATTTTACATTGTATTGCCAACATAATGTCACTTTGACTTTTATCTTTAAAAAAAAAAAACACATTTTAGTACGGTCACATACCATGCGTTCGGTATTTTGATCTGTGTTCTCTGAGCATGAATTTACCGTTAATTTATTTAAAAAGTGAACTCGGTGCAGGCTCATTCACGATCGTTTAATAAAATTTCGAGCCTCTGATACAGCGTTTAACTGCTCTGTGCGCTCGCTGGTCACGTGATTACGACTCCGCTCTGCTCTTTGAGCAAAATACCGAACGCAAGGATAACCTAAATTATTTTTTACCGTACTGCGCATGACATAAGTCGGCACGCATCGAAAAAGATTGCAGCTTGCAAGCTTGCACTTCGAAGTCGGCGTGCATGCCAGCACGGAATTGAATTGAGGATGCCAACGTTAAACTACATTTTCCTAGCTTGCGTGCCGAAGTGCCACTTCGCTACCAAATTGATTGAGGATGGGCCTTAATAGTTTGTGGAAACGGCCATTAGGGCCGGTTTATTCACCTTCTGATAAACTATCAGGTATGCAATCTGACCGATAAAAATGCAATGTCTAATTCCATTGGTTTTTTATTTGAATATAAATAAACCGGGCCTAATAAATATAAAAATCGAACAAACAAAATACGAAATTTTCGTGTGTTTGCATTAGCAAATTTATTTATGATCTCATATGACAATATCTGAGCTATAACATTTTCAATGGACAGCAGGGCTAGATCTGAAGGTTTCTCTTCTGCTAGAGTTGACCGCTAAGGTAAGTTTCAATTAACTCAAGCTTACTAACCGTTCACCTTTCGGCACTGTAACAGGAATGGTAACAAAAATACGGAGAGCTATCCAGATAAATAAGGAAACGTATCTTGCCAATTATTAAATGCTAACGCCTGAAGGACTGCTTTGGGGTGACTGTTATCACTATCCGAAATATCGTGATTAAATGATCGGGTAAGGACGCCACCACACCTACGATCCGTGCGCATCTCAAAAAAATGTCAGGACAGGTTATTCACATACTAAGTAAGCACAAGCTTGCTCACAAGCAGAGAAGCAAAATATCGAAAAGCAGAGACAGAATTCAAAGCGAAAATATACTTTTCCCTTTTTTTTTATTACCAAGGAACGAGTCGAAGGCGCCTCCCGAGGTCTGGAGCGCTCGCTCAGTTCGCCTTTTGGTAGGGCCGGCCCTGGTTATATTACTATTGATAATCCTCGAAAATATTTGTACAGTATATTTTTTGTGTTTGATATTATATTTTTTTTAAATCAGACTTTAGATATGTACAGGGTGTTTCACGAACATCGAAACAGAGGCGTTTAAGGGTATTTTAAGGTCGATTTAAAAAAAAAAACGTTCGGACCCGTCATTTTTGTATTCAAGGGGGAAACTTTTTGACCCCATCGGTATTTCGCTAGGGTGCAGCCCCTGGGTGGTGTGCCTTTCACCCTTGTTTTTTAGATAGGGAAGATGGATCGAGTGGTACCTTGTTTTAAAGTTATTTTGATTCTCGTCACAACTGCGTGTTTGTATTGAAAATCGAATGATTAGTTCTCAAGATATTCACTGTCTAAGTTGCCATGGGCTAAATGAGAAATGATCTTTTGTCCCTGTTATTCTCAAATCAACACTTTCCTGACTTTTCTCTCGGACACGTCAATTCTCATTTTGTCAGAATTCCACTATGGCAACTTTGACAGTGAATATCTTGAGAACTGACCATTCGATTTAAAAAAAAAATACACAGTTGTGACGAGAATCAAAATACCTTTAAAACAGGGTACCACTCGACCCATCTCCACTATCTAAAAAATAGGGGTGATAGTCACCCGTGACGCAGGGGGTGCACCCTAGCAAAATACCAATGGGGTCAAAAAGTTTCCGCCTTGAATACAAAAATGACATGTCCGAGCGTTTTTTTTTTTTAATCGACCCTAAAATACCCTAAAACGCCTTTGTTTCGATGTTCTTGAAACACACTGTATAAGTAGGTGTCTAACACAACAAAAAGGATAACTTTTTCCATCGTTTTTCATTCATATTTTATTTTCGCAAAATAAGAACATGGGCTATTTGTTTGTAGTTGTGTTGCCTTTTCTACTGGTTTATCATGAGGCGATTATCAATTTCTTATTTATTAATTTAATAATCAACATTAAATTAAAATATACAGAATGATATTCTCAACCATAAACTTGTATAGGGTTTTCCAATAGTAACGCTCGATGTTTGACAATAGCGCATGACGAACTCGATAGTAACACAGGTGCTATCTTTGGCAGCCGTATTCAGTTAGTCTCTGCATTTTATTATAGGGCGCCACACGACTGAGCGTCGAAATTGTTAAAAATGATTATCATTATCAAAACCAATGTTCTATTCGGCGAACGTTTCGTGCACTCCGTGCAATTTATGGTGTCAACGATCGTCCTTCAGAATCTACAATTCGCCGACCTAACGCCACTAGACTTTTTTCTTTGGGGCTTTCTAAAATCCAAAGTCTATGTTGGCAAACCTCGAACGGTTGCCACCTTAAAGGGGGTGTGACCCAAAAATCAAAGTTTTAGTACTGAAAATTCTAAGAACAAATATCCAAACCGCACCTTGCTACGATGAACCGTTTTTGAGATAGCGAGGTTTTAAGTTAAGAAACGCATGCGCTGTGACGTCACAAAAGCGTCGTGGCTTGACGCGTTCGCGCGAATGGTACATTTTACGTGTCTGTTCATGATTCGATGTTAGATTAACGTGTACATTGTTATTCCCAAATTGTGTGTCGATAGTTTTCAAAAAGAAATACGATTTGTAGAAAGGCTTTTGGTTTTGAACCTAAATATAGTACCTAAAGAAGATCTGAAAAAGCTGACAGAGGAGAACAATAGATTTAATCCAGAAAGCGGAGAGCGATTGCTTTCGTTAAATTGGTGTAAGTTTTCAAATTGTGTCATTATGCCTACAGAAAATGAATGTGTTTGTTGCTTATAGGGAATGAGAACATTGCTATTGTAACAAATGAGAATTGCTGCATCACATTTCATGATAGTTTTGAAAACATTGGTTCAAATATTTCACCTAACATCGTAAGGCATAATTTGATATCACAGTGTAAATCTAAAATATCAAAAGACAGATACAAAATCTTTGTTTCGTGGATAAATAGCTGGACCACATTTGGAAGAAACAACAGGATTGTTCTACCAGCGTGTGTAGTTAGACCAAGTACCTAAGGCAAGGATTTCCAGACGAAAATGACGAGTACACAGGATTCAAAGAATTTGAAGACATTTTATGAAAAATTCGGACTTTAATTTGAGTAATGAAATATAAACAACAGCAAATTTTTTGAACAACAAATTATAAATTAGAATTGGAATTATATTTTTTATTTTCCTTTTGTAGTAAACCTCGAAACATGTTTATCTTTAGCTGCACTGAAACTGGGCTTTTCGACTTTGTAACTGTTTTTGGGTACTTTAAATATAACTTCGGGTAACTTCCCAGTTTTGGAGTCATAGTTCAGTATTTTCTGTAGAAGATCAGCTTTCCAGAAATAAGTTTTTTTTTGGTATTTATTTTTAAAATGCCATCTCTTTGACGATTTCGGAAACTGTACATCCCCACCAACAACCTCTCTTCCAACATTAAAATTGTGATCCAGTATGGCTAGAATTGAACGTATGTACATACCATTGTAAGAAAAATGAACTCTTTTGGGTACATACTTTAGACGAATATTATGGTAGCTTTCCAAGCTGCTCGTGTGACAGTAATTTTTTCTATGTTTTAAATCATTTAAAAACATTTTATTCATAATTTCTGTTTGCAGTATTTGATAATCGGTAGAACCGAAGCGAATCCATTTTATTTCCTGAGCTTCCTTATCTAGTATTTGCCGGTGTTCACAGCCTTTTTTCTTCCCATTTTCATCTGTCCATTCGTGAATATTACAAATATGTTTCAAAAGTGAAGTAAACTTCTCAACAACAACTTCTGAGTTTCCTTTGCAAGTTTCTGAAGAACACCATAAATGGTTGGTTATAGCCCGGTTCCACTCGCTTAACAATTTTGACTTTTTTTCGGCTTTACCCAATTTCTTTTGGAGGCTTTTGGAAAGATGCCAAACGTATTCGTGTTGTATATATGGATATTTGTTTCTCAATAAAACACCGACTCCCCTATGTCTATCTGATAAAAAAAGCTTTACTTTCAATTTATCGGTTATTTCAGCTAGAGCTTTCTCACAAGCAGCCTTTTCTAAATCACCTTCGATCATACCCCTTTGCAATATTTCAAAATTTAATATTTTTTCGGTTTTCACATTCATTAGAGAATATGTAACATATTTTGCGGAAAATCCAGGAGAATCATACTGTCCGTCACCGGATATCCACAACTCCTTTTCAGTATTTGCCTCTTGGTAGAGAGAGTTTTTATACCCTAACCAAAACTTGTTAATTACAGGTGAAACTTTGGTTCTTACGGTTTTATAGTACGTCTTGCTAGATATAAATAATAGTTTCAACGTTTTTGCAAAGTTAAAGACTGGAAGAAAGTTCAAACCGTTAAGCAAAATTGCCCCAGATAAATAAACTGGACATTTTTCTGGGTTTTCAAAGGAGGACAATTTCTGACAATGTCCACTATGGCATTTATACTTGATATGTAATACAGCGCCTTTCGTAAACCGTTTAATGTCTGTAATTGGGGACTTACAGATAGCACAAAATGTAAAAAGAGTCATTAGAGCTTTAGTTTGCACCAACACATACTCAAATTTCGTTGAAAATGATTTTATATCACTGTTCTCCATAATTTCTTCATCACTTCTACAGTCGTTTATGCAGTCATCGTTTTTTTCACTGGTTTCACTGATACTTTGCTTCTCAGTGTCACTGCTAGGAAAAGTTAACTCGGAAGAATGAATTGATGTACTATCAGAATCATTCTCAAAAAGCATTGAATACTTGTGGTACACTTCTTCACCTAGTTCACACTGAATACCTATTTCTTCAGTTATGACTTGACAGACAAATTTGTCTGTATCCATGGGTTCATTCAATAAATCAACAGGCTTTGCATTAGACACATCTTTCAATGGAGTCATTATTTGTTTATCGAGCTCATCTGAGTTTCTTACGGATATATTTAGATTTTTTCAGAGAAACAGCAATTTTTTTTGGTTTACTTCCTAGCAGAAGACTAGGGACGGCTGTTTTTTTCAGCAAGCTTTTAATTTTTTCATTCGGTAGCAATGATCTAATTAAATTGTTTGCAAAATCTTCTTCCTTGAAATGCGAGCTACATACGACGGTATTTGAATTTGGATAGAAATTTTTACGATTGATTCGTTTTTTCCAGGCTTTGTAACGTTTTGGTTCTTTCTCGCTGCTAGGGAATTGATGGAGCGTCGCTGAAGAGTTTTTTCGGTTGTTATTACAACCCACAACACAACAATTAACCATTGTTAGTTTTCTAAAACAATAATAACACTTGCTAAAAACTATTACTGATCACTTTCTAAACAAATAAACAGGTTATGACATGATTGAAGCGGAGCACGCGACAACTCAACGTATAGGGTTCGTTTGCCGCTTCTGGCGATTCGCTGGTGTGACGTCACCAGGCTCAAGCCCGATATCTTCATGAGAGATTATCTACGGTACTATTCTGAGTAGAGGAGTGCGGTCTTCACGAGAGTTTTTAGATATTTTTTCTTAATTTAATGAACTAAAGTTGTTTTTTGGGTCACACCCCCTTTAAAGGCCAACATTAGGCACGTTATTGCTGAAATTGAGCCACTTTTATGCGATAACGTTATCGCAAATCAGGTATCCAGAATTCAACAAACCAGGCAAAGCCGCGAAGGACATTTACCTGATAGAATTTTTAAAACATAATGTTAACACATATACTTTATAATAAAAATAAAAATAGATCACTATCATTTCTCACGAATTGTTTTATTGCGTAGCAAGAATAGAGCGCTTCTATTGGAAAACCCTATACTATACTCCAAAAAATGCGAAAATATCTTCTTAAACATTTTGAATGAATGATTAAATCCACTACAGAGACGACGCTAAAATGCTTTACCTAGTATAGATTTCATTATCCATTGCGCCTTGGCATAAACTATTAAAATTAATCGGCTAATGTATGGCTGCATAAGGGTGAATTGTGGTTATGTACTTTAATGGTTCCAGATTGGTTCTACAATATGAAATCCTATGAAATCCTACTACAGATCGTCAATTAATAATTTTCAGTCAGATTATCAATTTTATATCATCCCATACTATACATTCGAGATTTTCTACCAAACTAAGCAAGGAGCCTAAATATATTTGCTGCAGAGATAAAACAGGATTCTCTATAAAAGGGATTCATAGAGCTTCCGAAAATTTCCAAAACAGTGCATTCTAGTTTATAGTAGAAGTCAAAAATGGAATTCTCTCGGAAAATATAAATAGAGAACAGAATTTTTGAAGCGATTTTTTGGTTCCGTCTTAGGCCTACTTTAAAACATAGCTGAAATACCTTAGCTTCAACACCCTATAAATATTCGAAAACCAAGAACATAAAAAAACAGATTTTCCGAAAAATATTCCATCTATCTGCGTACATAAAAAAATCAACAAACTATGGATTTGATATACCTAAGCCCACAGAAAAAAAATCAAAAGGAGTTAAGTCTGGATCTTGTGCAGGCCAATGTATAGGTCCTTCTCTCCCAATCCGTCGACCAGGAAATTCCTAATTCAAAATGCTCTGTTACTACTAGGCCTTCAAAATGTGCCAATGCGCGGTCGTTTTGGAATCACATTCTACGCCGAAGGTCGAACAACAAAATATATAGATACCTATATATTCTGTGGTCAAACGTTACATTTTCTAGTATTTGGGGCACAACATTTTGCAAAAAGTGGAGGTAAATGTTATGATTTAATAGAGGCGGAAGCCAGAATAAGCCAATCAAAAAGTTCCATGCAATTCCGGCCCAGATGTCAATGGCAAATTGATGTTAATTCGCTCTAACCCAGATGGCATGAGGATTATGATCGTCACATATTTGGTCGTTGTTGCTATAGGAAAACCCGACCCTAGTGGATCAACGCATTCATCGGTAAGCAGAATAATTGATCCAATCAGGTTGCAACGCAAACCGTTGAAGAAACCAGCGACAAACCAACAACCAAGGGTGATATTAAAGGTCTTTTATCAAGCGGAAGCACTCATTTGACGCGCAATTGAGCGAACTAAAAACTAACTGATCACAGAAAAACACTGGTGTTCCCATTTTACTATTTTAAAATGTGTAAAGATAATGGGTAATTTACAATAAATTGAAACATACGTGGCAATAGTATAATAAAAATAGATCACTATCATTTCTCACGAATTGTTTTATTGCGTAACAAGAATAGAGCGCTTCTATTGGAAAACCCTATACTATACTCCAAAAAATGCGAAAATATCTTCTTAAACATTTTGAATGAATGATTAAATCCACTACAGAGACGACGCTAAAATGCTTTACCTAGTATAGATTTCATTATCCATTGCGCCTTGGCATAAACTATTAAAATTAATCGGCTAATGTATGGCTGCATAAGGGTGAATTGTGGTTATGTACTTTAATGGTTCCAGATTGGTTCTACAATATGAAATCCTATGAAATCCTACTACAGATCGTCAATTAATAATTTTCAGTCAGATTATCAATTTTATATCATCCCATACTATACATTCGAGATTTTCTACCAAACTAAGCAAGGAGCCTAAATATATTTGCTGCAGAGATAAAACAGGATTCTCTATAAAAGGGATTCATAGAGCTTCCGAAAATTTCCAAAACAGTGCATTCTAGTTTATAGTAGAAGTCAAAAATGGAATTCTCTCGGAAAATATAAATAGAGAACAGAATTTTTGAAGCGATTTTTTGGTTCCGTCTTAGGCCTACTTTAAAACATAGCTGAAATACCTTAGCTTCAACACCCTATAAATATTCGAAAACCAAGAACATAAAAAAACAGATTTTCCGAAAAATATTCCATCTATCTGCGTACATAAAAAAATCAACAAACTATGGATTTGATATACCTAAGCCCACAGAAAAAAAATCAAAAGGAGTTAAGTCTGGATCTTGTGCAGGCCAATGTATAGGTCCTTCTCTCCCAATCCGTCGACCAGGAAATTCCTAATTCAAAATGCTCTGTTACTACTAGGCCTTCAAAATGTGCCAATGCGCGGTCGTTTTGGAATCACATTCTACGCCGAAGGTCGAACAACAAAATATATAGATACCTATATATTCTGTGGTCAAACGTTACATTTTCTAGTATTTGGGGCACAACATTTTGCAAAAAGTGGAGGTAAATGTTATGATTTAATAGAGGCGGAAGCCAGAATAAGCCAATCAAAAAGTTCCATGCAATTCCGGCCCAGATGTCAATGGCAAATTGATGTTAATTCGCTCTAACCCAGATGGCATGAGGATTATGATCGTCACATATTTGGTCGTTGTTGCTATAGGAAAACCCGACCCTAGTGGATCAACGCATTCATCGGTAAGCAGAATAATTGATCCAATCAGGTTGCAACGCAAACCGTTGAAGAAACCAGCGACAAACCAACAACCAAGGGTGATATTAAAGGTCTTTTATCAAGCGGAAGCACTCATTTGACGCGCAATTGAGCGAACTAAAAACTAACTGATCACAGAAAAACACTGGTGTTCCCATTTTACTATTTTAAAATGTGTAAAGATAATGGGTAATTTACAATAAATTGAAACATACGTGGCAATAGTATAATAAAAATAGATCACTATCATTTCTCACGAATTGTTTTATTGCGTAACAAGAATAGAGCGCTTCTATTGGAAAACCCTATACTATACTCCAAAAAATGCGAAAATATCTTCTTAAACATTTTGAATGAATGATTAAATCCACTACAGAGACGACGCTAAAATGCTTTACCTAGTATAGATTTCATTATCCATTGCGCCTTGGCATAAACTATTAAAATTAATCGGCTAATGTATGGCTGCATAAGGGTGAATTGTGGTTATGTACTTTAATGGTTCCAGATTGGTTCTACAATATGAAATCCTATGAAATCCTACTACAGATCGTCAATTAATAATTTTCAGTCAGATGATCAATTTTATATCATCCCATACTATACATTCGAGATTTTCTACCAAACTAAGCAAGGAGCCTAAATATATTTGCTGCAGAGATAAAACAGGATTCTCTATAAAAGGGATTCATAGAGCTTCTGAAAATTTCCAAAACAGTGCATTCTAGTTTATAGTAGAAGTCAAAAATGGAATTCTCTCGGTAAATGGTAAATTTTCCAAAACGAAATAAAAATATTCTTTAAAATAAATCACACTTAACAACGAAATTGTTAAATGAAGTCAGTGATAAAGGTTTCGTGAAAAAATCTGCAATCTGCAGTTTTGTTGAAATATATTTTAATGAAACTATTTTATCATTGACATTATCCCGGATAAAATGAAAACGAATATCAATGTGTTTCAGTCTTTTGTGGAACTCTGGGTTCTTACAGACCTTGATGATAATAACACTGAAAATCTTATCAAAAAGATTCAAATCTAGAATCAAATTTCTAAGCCAACTGGCTTCACTTATAGCCAAACTTAATGCTATGTGTTCTGCCTCGGTGGAAGACAGAGCCACAGAATCTTGTTTTTTAGAGCACCACCTAACTGTGCAGCCAAAATTCTTGAAAATGTAACCTGAAGTAGATTTTCTGTCAGTTCTGTCTCCAGCCCAGTCTGCATCAGCATAACCCTCAATTACATCATGAAAATCAATTTTTTTAAAGACTAACTAACATTTTTTGTTTTCTATATATACCTAAAACCTCTTTTAATTGCTTGCCAAAGCTGTGAACTAGCACATGATTGGTATCTACTTAAAATGCTTATTGATATACATAAATCTGGTCGTGAGCATAACAAGCGTACATTAGAGACCCCATAGCCTTTCTGCATATGTTTTAAATTTCATTATTTTCTGATTTGTCCCGTTCATCATGCCTAAAATTTATTTCCATAGAGGTATTACAAGCTTT